ACAACAATCAAATAAACATATCAGACAATATAGATAATACTGATAACTTTCCGCAGACTTCTCAAATAAATGGAGATTCTAGAGACCGTACACGAGTATCAGGTATGCATAATATTGATATTATTAATATACCCGAGGAGAGTAACAACAATGAAATACTCCTAAATGAAAATATGTCAAACAGTAATGATAATATTGTAATAACTACCGAAAGGGGTACTAATACACATTCTAGCACTATTGAAGAAATACCAACAGATATTAACAATGATAATGGTAATCGGTAGTCATGAAAAAAAATTAATTAAAGTTTAATACTGAATTAAATAACGATATGGAAAACAAAACAGGAAAAATAGGTATTACGAAGAGAAAATGGAAAAATTTAATCCAAATTCAAACCAAATCAGTTTCTGATAATAGTACTTATATGTATATATTAATTTTAAGAATATTATCAAATAAGATACTTAAAAAACGAAATTTGGAACTACTTTCATAAACATCTATAAAACAAAAAATTTAACACCTAAGAATAAAATACAATAGAACGGAAAATGGTTTTTTTTATTAGATATAAATATCCCTCATACCCGTTATCATTATATATTATGTATAATAATATAATAATATATATAATAATATTAATGAATAATAATAATATATATTATTATAATATATTATATTATAATATAAAATATAATATATATATTGTTTTGTAGCAATGTTTCTAAAACTACTGTTAAACGTTTTCAGTTATGCTAATTTTTAGCGCTCAAAAAAACGTGAGTGCGCTGTACTGTACTATATTACTACTGTACTATATAAGTTCAGTGAACTTACATAAAGATCAAGAGATTAGTTATCTATAGATGTAATAAAGCATCATTGACCTGTATCTAAACACAATCTTGATTTTTCTGAAGACAATTTCGTTCACTGCTGGCAGATATAGGGATATTCGCACAATATCAAATTGAAAACTTGTCTTCGTGTTATCAGTTGACTCAGTTATTAAGTTTATACACATAAATAACAGTACTCCGGTTCATAACTTGAAATTAACAGTAATGATACGATAATAGGTAATAAAAATTATGGAATTCTTTAAAACTTCAGAAAGTACATAATACTACCTTAGTGTATTTAAGACGTACATAGTCTTCTTTCTCTCTCTCCCTCTCTCTTATGAACTGCTTAACTGTCTAAACAATCAAGTTTTTATGTATACTAATATATTTTATTTATCAAGGTGGAAAGAGCTGTCTTCATTATAGGTTTATGTTCATATTTTAAAATATAGTTTTATAAAAATTGCTTTATAAACTTTCCGTTTACAACAAATAACTCCACAATATTCATTATTCAATACAAAAATATTAACAAATATAAAATTATATATTTTATTTAATTATTTATTAAACTTGAGCATTGTTGGTATATTTATTTATTAATGCAATACATTTAATTTTCAATAAAAGTACATTATTTTTCACTTATTTATATATATGTTTACTTATTATTAATATATAATAAAGAATTATATGTATAATGAATTTAAGAAATTATAACAAAATATTTTGAAGTAAAGCAGGATTTTAAAATATACAGAAATCTTTATTAATATAAATATTAAAGATATTTATTTTTTTTAATTATAAAAAATTCTGAAATATATATTATATTATAAATAAAAAAAAAATTAATTAAATATTATTAAAATAATATTAATTTTTCTTTTCATTGTAGAAATTGTAAAAGATATATTATATTCAATATTGTTTTTTTTTAAATTAAATTATAATTGTTTCATAAATATTGTGATTTCAGTTTCAGATTTAAATTTTTTAAATAAAAAGTATATAAGATGTTTATAGAATAGTTTTAACAATTAATATTTTTGCAATATAAATATTTTTATTAATTCATTAATATGCATTATGTTTTAATTATTTTAGAAGAAAGGTAGAAAAAAATATTCATTATTAATATAAATTTTGTTATATTTTAAAAATTTCTGAGCATATTAGTTTGAAAATATCAGTAAAACGTCCCAATACTTATAGATAAATGTTGGAGAGATATTATATATAAATATATATATTAAATATTTGACACATATATTTGTAATATGTTATCTATATTTATATGGATATATTTGAGTATGTCTTCCTATAATATATATCCGTTATATACATATAAAGTTTCAATATTATATTATATTTAAGAATAATGTATTTGTAATTACATATTTAATTATTGAGTAGAATTATTCATAATAAAACTTCTTATATACCAACGACTATACTTCAAATTCCTCATTATTTACTTAATACAATTTTTTTTATTATATTAATGATTTTTAACTAAACCTAAAGATGAAAATTTTTATTTGTATAAAATGAATTATTCTAATAAAACATGTTTCAAGTAATTATACAATATTCTTTTGAAAAAATAAATGGCGTTATAAAATAAAAATTTCAGTAATATGTGTTTAAGAATTTATAATTTTTATATATAAAATTTTAATTGCAAACAATTAAAATTAAGCATATAAAATTATTATATTTTAAAGAAATCAATAAATTTCTATTATTTTTATATATTACATATAAAAAAATATACAGACAGATATGAACTTATCTATTATTATAAAGACATATATATGTTTATATATGCATATATATTAAAAAATATGTAATAAATTTTATATAATAATTCTTAGTTTATATTATTAAAATTAATTTATTGTAATAATTATTTATTGTTGTGAACTCTACCGAAGAAAATTTAATTTTTCCTGCATTTAATCCCATTCACCAATGTACATGGTACGTGGAGTTGGTACATAACCGC